ACCCAGGACCACGTGTGCTGCACCCCTGAGCTACAGGCTGAGGCGTGTACCCAGGACCACGTGTGCTTCACCCCTGAGCTACATCCCTGGCATAACTTTATTTTTATACCAGAGTAATTACACATGTTCACTAGAACCAGAAGCTTGAGATACAGGGAATTTTCCTCAAGCTTTTTTTTATTAATGAAATTGAGGAATTTGCAAGTTTCAGATTTTTTCTTGCCTCTATGAACAAAACCTTTTGCGTGGCCTCCCCAAAACATCATTTGGGGCTAGAGCATTTATTTTGAGGAAGGCATAATTTTCTGATATATTAAGACTGGATTTTGGTCAAGTTTTCTTCTGCTCAAAACTGTGAAAAATGGTGAGTGTTGATGTGTATAGGAAGGGAATTTATAAGAAGACAAACTTCTCAAAGAGGAGAGAGTAATATGTACAGGTCAGGGTGGTATCACGTGGCAGCCCATAGATCTGGCTTAGACAGGGCAGCACTTCTGAGTGACAGTGCAGGCTCGCAGCTCAGTTGGCCTCGTCAGAGGAGGGCAGCCCTGTGTCCTCTGTTCACCTCGGGCGCATGCTCTGCTAGGTCTAGCAGCTGTGGTTCCAGGAGGGAATGGGTACAGCTTTTGACAGTAAAATTGCTTTCCCATCAGCACCAAACTGAAACTAGTATGAAGTGAAAACTTGTATTTGTATTTAGCAGAGCACATTCATTCATAAAGGACATTGGACTAGGCCCTGTCCAGGCAGTCTGTGGTGAGCACTGTGTGATGGGAGAGGGCGTGTTGATACTGTGTGCTGCCCAGGGCGCACCACACCCCGTGGGTCACGTTGTCTGATGCTGACAGGCTTTTCTGCATCAGTCCATAAATCCTCTCATGACTTTTTTTTTTTTTTCTCTCTCATGACTTTTTAAAAAGCAGTATTTAGGAACTCTTTCAGTTAGGATTTTTTTTTTTTTTGGCTCTGAATGCCTTCAGGGCTGGCTTGAGTTGTGGGGATTGAACCACAGTATCCTGAGCCTGACTGCTTTGCTGAAGCAGCCACTTAAAGAACTGAGCTAAGGGGCAGGCCCCCACTTTTTCAGTTAGGAATAGACAAAAATATAACATCAGTTGTTAAAAATGTTAATATTACTTGTATTTCCTTCAGTGTACTGGAGGAAGTAGCTCAGGATCTAAGGATATGTTCTAAAACTAGAAAGACATCCCCTATAAAAGATGTCTTTTCTGGTAGAAACTCTCCCACCCCTACTGAAACTGGTGGCTATGAAAGAATGGGAAAGTGTTCTTTTTAACATACAGAAAAGTGTTAGCATCAGTGTCAAAGGTCTCAGCAGTATATGAACCTAAGTAGTCACAATCTAAATGTGATCTGTACAGGGCCGAGGAGATGGCTCAGTAGAATAAGTGCTTGCCTGGCAAGCGCAAAGACCTGAGTTCAATCCCCAGTTCTCCCCCCCCCCCAAAAAAAAAGTCTAAATGTGTTATGCAAGTGTCAGACAAAATTACCTCTTCTGAGAAGTGATTATGAAGGAAGACTTCCTCTGAGTTTAAATGCCCTCCCTTTTAGGGAAGCAGCTGCCATCTTAAGGAAAGGCAGCTCTGAATATGAGCATCAGCTTAGGTTAGTTGTGGCCCCATTTCAGTTATTTTAGTTATGTTCTGTATGGTGCAGGTATAAACCTAAGACCTGGACTGGTCACTTGTTCCTGCTTTTCCCAGGTGGCTGCTGTTCTGCCCATGTACTAAGCCCAGTGTATCTTCCACACAGCCCTTCTAAAGATGATAAAAGCATCTTCGTTTCGCTGGAGGAGAGTCACTTTTCCAAATGGCGTTTCTCAGGGTGGTTCCTCTCCTTCCTCCTGTGGTGCTTTCACCGCAGTGGCTCACTTCCTGGCTCACAGGCAAGCACTTGTGACGTGCTGTGAAGACAGCAAACAGCGGAAGCCACCCCAGTGCCCACGATAGTATCTTGGTTAGATTAAGAGGAGGAGTGGTGTGGCTTTTGGGCCTCAGCTTCCTGTGTGCAAATGGGGTACCCTTCTAAGCTGCTGTAAGGATGGGTTCAGTAAGTGGGGAGCACACAGAATGGAGGCTGCATCTGTAACTGCTGTCCGGGTGGCCTCTGCCCTGATGGGGGGCGTGTTGCTCTAAGGTCTGTGGTGTGTCCATGCTGTGACACGTGTGCCACTGTCGGAGAATGAGGCGCAGGATCACAATGTGCACTCTTCCGAAAGCACCTCACACGTCCAGCTCACTTCCTCCTTGCACCAGGCCTGGGGTGTGCGCCCCAGTCCTATTACTTGCATTGGTTGGAACCGAGGCACCTGCAGTGCTGTGACACCAGGCTGTGGCTTTCTCATTGTTCTATGGTGGCATAGAAAATGATTTACATTATTGTTTTAGGTGAGCTTTTTGAGAAGGCTTGTCCACAGTAACACTAGCATTTCTCGAGGAGTAATAACTGATTATGTGTCTGATTTCATTATTGCCTCACATTCGCAGGCAAGTAGTCACAAGGATTCCTGTTCCATGAAGGCCTTAGAATGATTCCAATATAAAACAGTTCTTCTCTGAGGAGAATTTCAGGCAGGGGTCATCTTGCCACCCACGATCATATGCAGGACTGATGGGTGTCACACAGATGGCCGGAGTAAGTTACTTCTGGATAAACTGGTGGGACTAGAAGACAGGCTAGGGGAGGCCAGTAGCTTAGGCCTTGTATTGAGTACCCGTCTACCCAGCTCTGACACTTCTGTGACTTCAAATGTAAAGGACATGCCTGTTTCCCGGTAGGGGTACTGATAGGGGATTTGATGGTATTTTAGGCTTTTAATTGTCAGAGAAGTGATCATTACTGCAGTGTTCTCATGTGGTGGTCTCTTTAGAAATGGCGCGTCCACTGTTGTCACTGCTATATTCGGAGGTGTTCTCCAGAACGAGGTCAACTGCCTCATCTGTGGGACGGAGTCCAGGAAGTTTGATCCATTCTTAGGTAAGGTGCATTTGGCATGGGGGCTTTACTGTCTCGGGAATGATTTTAATGTTCCTTGGAAAGTTACATCAGAAAGGGAAAATTCTCTCATTTAACAGCTGTTTTCTTATTTCTTCAGACCTTTCATTAGATATCCCAAGTCAGTTCAGGAGTAAGCGCTCTAAGAACCAAGAAAATGGACCAGTTTGTTCATTACGAGGTAAAGATATTAATGTTTAGAATTCATTTTTTCCCTTTAAAAAGGTGAATAGATTTGTAAGCTCCATCAGTATGAGCTATGTGATTCGTATCCTTAATTAATGTGTTGTAATTTAACAAGCCAGACCAGAATGCATTTTTTCCTACCCCCAGAATTCCATTTAAGAATGTCTGCCTCAAGAGGTGAAGGTATTTCTTACCTTTTTCTTGTCAACATGGGGCTCAAAAGTGAAAATTTGTAACAAAAATTTTCTTAAACAAATGAAACAGTATTGATTTTATGCATAAGTACTTCTAGAGTCTAAGATACTAAGTAAGCACACTTAGCAAGGTTTTGTACATTATGAGGTCAGGTATGTGCTTTTGTATGAATAATAGTTCAGAGAGAAATCAATTGATGATTAAGCCCAAGATCTGCTTTTGATTTCAAGACCATTAAAATTCACAGGTACTTCGGGGGCTTTATACTATTTTTTTTTTTCCTGGATGAGTATTAGCTAGTTTAATCAAAGAAAAAGAGCTCATTTAAAACCTAAGGGAGAGGATTCAGGATGGCTGAATAGAGGCACCCAGCCTGCAGGTCTGCCATAGAGAACAAGGACCACAAGGAAGAACCCATGCTGATTCTGGAGCCATGTGGCGGGAAGCTAGCAGCAGGCAGAGTGAGAAAGGCCACCTTCTCAGAGGGCAAAGCAGACTGCACCCAGAGCCTTTTCCCAGGTGGAAGCGGGGAGGAACCTCATCCCACCCACAGAGCAGGGCCCGGGTGGGGCGAGGAGCACTGGGTCAGTTCTGCCTGCGTCACGTGCACAAGACACGGGCAGACCCCTCCCAGCCCTGGCACTGCTAGACCAACAAGCCAGTGACACCCAAGCCTCTTGCCACCTGTGCTGTCCTGCAGCTCTAGGACTGTGGCTCCCAGTGTCTTGTGGGACCAGGAACATTCACACCTATATCCTGTAGTCCCCGGACCACGGGAAGGGTTGCACACCTCGAGGAGTTTGGATTTCAATGTCACATACCCAAATGCTACTTGCACAGGCCCAGGGGACAGTCTTCTCCTCAGCCCTTGGACTGGAGGCTACGGAAGTTGGTGCCAAAAGCCACCATAGCAGCACTTGTCTCTTGGGCCCTAGACAAGGTACGGTCTGGGTCCCAGGCCTCCATGAGAGCAGCCAACAGCACTGAAAGCCATGGACCCCAGCTCCAGCTGTGCGCAATCCTGGGGACCTAGGGATGGTCACATACTGTCCTGTGGCTCTGAACTATGTGCTGCTGGTGCCGAAAGTAGAGGCATCTCACACATTCATCCTGGGGTCCCAGGAAAGGTCTCCTTCATGTCCCATGGCTGGCATCTGTGCTTTTCCTGGCAGTCCTGGGGGCAGCAAGCCCAGTGACACCTGACTGCAGCACTGTGGGACCAGAGGACACGAACTGTTGGCAGCCCAAGTCCTGTGCCGAGTCGGGCACTGCTGAGATCAAGCAGAGCTGAAGAGACCACGCAGAGGTGGTGCTTTGAGCTCTGTCACCAGAGAACCTGCCCAGTTTTCACTCTGTATCCTAGCTGCAGTAGAGAAGACTTCCTACCAAAGCAACTCCACAAAATTGAGAAAAGCAGCTGCTGTGCCAGGTGTGCACACAGGAGTGCAGGCACGGCAGGAAACATCCTTCCTGAGGAAAGTACTGGCTCTCTAGAAATGCTGTGAAGGAAATTATGAAATGCTTGAAAAAATTTTTAAATAATGATTCTTAAGGAAATTCAGCAAGATGTATAAGAATACAGATTGACAGTACAGAGAAATAACACCTTCACCGACCAGGAGCCTTCGAACTCAGTGGAGAGTTTCCAGAACACAGAAGAAGCAGCAGCAAAAGAGCGAATCTGTGAACTGTAGGACAGTTCTTTTGAAGTCAGGTAGAATAAAATGAAGCAAGCTGTTGAGACTTAGCAGACACTCACCAGCACACATCCGTTCTCCAGGTGGATCATGTAATGGGCCACAGTCTTGAGTCTCAGTAAATTAAAAACAAACTGTATAATGTATCTTCTCAGGCCATGGTGGAATAAGTCAAATTCAAGATGAGTAAGAATGGAAAATGTACAAATATAGTGTACAGAAGTTGAACAACATGCTCCTAAATGACCAGTGGATAACTGAAAAACTTAAAAGGGAAATCAATAAAAAACAGTACAGTAAATCAGAACAGAAGGAGTCTTGAGGAAAGCTTATATTAATATTTAAAAAAATAAAATAGGGGCCAGGAAGATGGCTCAGTGGAATAAGCGCTGTCCTGGCAAGCACAAGCGCCTGAGTTCAATCCCCAGTTCTGCCAAAAAATAAAATATATCAAATGCACAAGCTGATATACCTCAAGGATTTACAAAACCAGGAACGGACCATACCCAAAATGAGCGAATAAAGATCAGAGCACAAATAAAGTTTAAAGTAAGTACAAAAGATCAACAAAACGGGGGGTTTGCGAGGAGAAGAATTGACCTACTGGCTCTGAGCCGAATTCTGTGAGACACCTAAATGTAATTAGCAGGGGGTGCTACCACACACCTTGGCCCCGGCACCATGGGACTGAGCCCAGCCTGGGTGACCTAGTGAGACCCTGTCTCAAAATAAAAAATAAAATAGGGCTGAGCTGATGGAGCTCAGTGCAGAGGCTCCAGCATCAGTCCCCAGGCCCTAAAAATAAAACTAATTCCAGTTCTTAGAGGCTCACTCTGCTAGCAGCGCCCACACTCACCGCTTTTCCACGGGAGCCAGAGCAGCAGCTGTGTAGCTGTGTATGGAGGTGAGCCAGCTGGGAAAACCCCAGCGACCGGTGCAGCGGCACCACAAGAACCCCTTGCCCCCGCCGGCCTGGCTCCGTGGGGGGGGGCGTCGCCTATCTGGGGGCTAACGGTGGACAGTGCCCCTGCACTGTCTGAGCAGATACGGCGTGTCCTCTCTGCTGCAGAATTTCGGGTCCCTGCAGGCCTCCAACCTAAGTAGATAAGAAACCAGAATTCTGCACCTTTGGAAAAGAAACTCCCTCCAGAAGTGCCCAAGATGCTGCAACACGAATTTGCCTTCAGAAGTGACCTGTCGTCTAAATTTAGACAGCTTTAGGAGTACAAAGGATGAGGAGCCCAAGGTCCTGCGGAGCTGCCCTGAGCCCGGCGTGGGGCCAGGCAATTGCGGATTCCCACAGCCGTGAGGACCAAGGGAACCGCCTGCAGTCTCTGGCCCTCTGGCCCTAAGGAGGCAGGCATTGCCCAGCGCTCCTCGGCGGGAAGGAATTTTACCTGGCTCCAGCTCTGAGCCGCTCCGGCTGCAGCCCTGGGGGTTGCTACAAATGAAAGAAATGGGAAGAGAAAAGCTCTGCTGTTGCCCAACTCAGGGGCACAACCTGAGAGGCCTGGAGAGAAACCACCGTGCACAGATCCCACACAGCCCCTGCTCATTTGCCACAGCTTTATTTACAAAGCCAGTAGCTGGCTGTCCTGGCTCAGGAGTGGCTTACCATGCCCCAGGTCACACAGTGCAGTCCACAGACAACACCACACAACATGGTGTGGCTGTGGTTTACAGTGTGTAGTCTGGAGCAAGGGTTGGCGGGAGGTTAGGTGATCAGCTTTACCTAATCTAGTTTATGTCTAAATGTTATGACTGTGGAAATGATTGGTCCAGATTTGACCTTCATTTTTTTATAAGCCTGGGGTTTTCTCTGTAGCGTCGCACATTGAGAGAAGCGCGGGCTGGGCACGTAGCTTAGTGCGAGAGCCCCACCTGGCCCGTTGCAGAGCCTGGGCTCCAGCCTCCTTCCTGCACAGAGGAGCCAGGGCTCGTGGAGCCGGGCTCTCACCAGGAGTGTTCTCTCAGTAACTGCAGCAAAGCCAGCCAGGTCTCCCCATTGCCCGAGGCCGGGTGCCCTGAGGGCGGTTTGCTGTCCTGCGGGGCTCTGCGGGGCTCTTCCAGGCAGCGGTATTCTGTCCCTGGCTTGCCCCCGAGGCAGGGCGGGCCTCTGCTCAGCTCAGGCTGCTTGGCAGCGCCGTCTGCTCACGCAGCCCAAATCCCTTCGGTTTCAGACTGTCTTCGCAGTTTCACTGACTTAGAAGAACTCGACGAGACAGAGTTGTACATGTGCCACAAGTGCAGAAAGAAGCAGAAGTCCACAAAAAAGTTCTGGATTCAGAAACTGCCCAAGGTAAGGGCTGCCTTTCAAATGAGGGTGCAGTTTCAAAGGAAGGGCCCACTGATGAGAAAAGGTAACTTTCTAAGTGGAGAGCAGCCGTGAGCTGCTCGGGGCTCCAGGGTGTTCAGGGCGGGCGCAGCCCCGGGGAGCCCCGGGAGGCGTGTGCGGCTGCAGCAGCACCCCCAGGACAACACCTGCGCGCTGCCTGCCGCGTGGTGCTGGGCACGTGAGGTGCTCGCTCGGCCTCCATCCCGTCTGCCATCAGGTGCTGTGCTTACATCTGAAGAGGTTTCACTGGACAGCATACTTAAGAAACAAAGTGGACACCTACGTAGAGTTCCCCCTGAGAGGCCTGGACATGAAATGCTACTTACTCGAGGTAAGCGCAGCGGCCACGTCTCAGCACAGCGGGTGGAGGCCACGGCGGCAGGTGACGCTCATGCCGTTGGCCTCTGCTCCTGATCCACTTCTGGGGCCGCCTTGGGGTTGTTCCGTAGCCCGAGAACAGTGGCCCCGAGAGCTGCCTGTACGACCTTGCGGCGGTGGTGGTGCACCATGGCTCCGGGTGAGTACCCCGAGCTCGAGATCGGAAGCCCAGCGCCACAGTCCACATTCTCCCTACGCGCCCGAGAAATGGACTTGGATCCATTAAAGCAGATGAAGTGTTTCTAGGAGGACGTGGCAGCAGCAGAGAAGGCGCCCGCGCAAAGCCACACGCAGCTCACGTGTGCTCCGCGGGGAGTAGCCAGCCCACCTGGCCACAGTACCCCGAGTTCTCTTACCCCAGGGTTATCTTCCTCGCCAGCTGAGATTTGGTTTTCTGGTTTTTTTTTTTTTTTTTTCTTGACCGGGGATTGAACTCAGGACCTTGAGAGTGCATGCAAAATCCTTTGTATTTATTCTTTCTTACTTCACCCGATAATTGTTTTTTTTTTTTTTTTTTTTTTTTTTTTGCTCCGAATGCCTTCAGGGCAGGTTTGGCTGGCTTGAGTTGTGGGGCTCGAACCACAGCAACCTGAGCCTGACTGCTTTGTTGAAGCAGCCACTTAAAAAGCTGAGCTAAGGGGCAGGCCCCCACTAGCTGAGATTTAGATAGGCGACAAATAGAGCAGTATTTAAAATAGCCTACTCCTGTTGTCACTTTTGAGACGCCTTGATACCTTGTCCACGACTTTCCCTGCAAGTCCATGCTAGGTGCAGGGGGCTTCGGGCCTGTGGCGGGGCCTCCGCCCACACCCACAGCAGGAATCTTTTCCCTCACACTTGGGGGACACTGTTCCCTGTGGGGTTTCAGAGGGCAGGGCTGACATGGCCGACTGTCACTTGTTCACAGGCATCCTTGATTTTTTCTGGAAGTCTGCAGTCCCCTCTAACTTTGCGCACAGAGTATCTCTGCTTGGTAGCTGGTACAGGCACTTGCAGCTTGGAGTCTTCAGCTGACAGAAATTTGTATTCTCCGTTTTTCTCTCCTGGAATCCAGCAAATTGAGTGCATTTCCCAGAGCAGCTCCTCATATCCAAGCTGAGCACGAATTTGCTCCACCCACCCCTCCTTTGTGGTGCTGGGGACCAAGCCCCAGGCCTCCTCCCCGTCAGCCTAGGCTCCCCAGCTTCCCTGAACCATATAAAGGCCACCACAGTCTTTTCCTACTAATTTTACGTTACCAGTATTTTGAAACCATTGCTATTAACTGGAAGGGTTAAGGGTTCTGCTTGGTTTTCTGCATGAAATTCTCCAGTTAGCTGCTTTATTTGTCCTCCCGAGCAGTTGTCATTCGTGCTATTGCTTTCTCCTCAAGAACCTGCTTTTTGATCGCTTATTTAGAATCAGAATACAGTGACACCGTGGCTTACAAACTTAATTTGTTTCATGATTGGAAAAATCACGGCCATGGTCACATCCAAAACCTGATATACAGTTTGCAAATAAAAACATTTTGCCAGATGCTCTTGTTCATGAACTGAGGCACCATTTTAGTGGAAGGGGAAGGCTGACCTTTACTGGTAAACAAGGGCTTTTCTATCAACCATAAAGGCCCCTCGCCCACCCACCTCGCCCTTTATGTATTTAGTACAGGGTCTCACTACACTGTACTGTGTACAGTGGCCAGGTGGGCTGAGGTTTTATTCACGTCAGCCCTGCCCTCTGTAACCCCAGAGGGAACAGTGGCCACCAAGTGTGAGGGAAAAGATTCCTGCTGTGGGCCAGAGACCAGATGGGACTTGTAGTGAGCCGTCCTGTTTTTCAGCCTCCCAAGCACTGGGATTATAGGTGCGCAGCGCCACCACATCCAGTGTCATTCGCCATCTCAGCGCCCCCCGGAGGTGGGGCTGGCACAGCACACCGGGAATCGAACTCCCCACCCCTGCATCTGCCTAAGCAGGCGCTTTAATCTACTGAGCTATCTGGCCGGCCCCCTCACTCTTGACAGGAGGGTGGGCTCTGGGTACCATGTCAGCATTCTTGCCCCAAGCACCTAGGACCTGTTTCCATGGAGGCCAACTAGTTTAAGCTCAGGGTCCCCGTGTCCCTCTCCCAATGCAGATTGTGGTAGGAAATATGTACTGCGTTCCCATATCCCTGAGCTATGTGACATAGCTGTGTTTGGCTCTTCCACTAACCCTGTGCCATGTGCTTTGTGGGTTCTAGAAAATCCCGCTCCTCATCAGTTGCCAGTCCTTTCCTGTTTGCCATCTCCAGCATCTCTCTTCTCTCTGGTGGGGTTGGAGGGCAGCGGGCACTTAGTCACCTGGCGAGAGCCAAGCCTCTAGGAGAGTGGCAGTGAGTCCAAGGCACACACGCCGCGGCAGGCTGCTCGTGTCAGCCAGTGCTCCACAAGGTGTGGCATCACTGTCCAGAATTTGTTCTTTAATCACAGTGCATGCTGGAATGTTCCACAGATGGAAGTTGCCTGGATCGTCCATGACTCCTGCAGTCGCTGCCTCTGACCGCTGGCTTTCTCCACAGGGTCGGCTCTGGGCATTACACCGCCTACGCAGGGCACGAGGGCCGCTGGTTCCACTTCAATGACAGCACTGTGACGCTGACGGACGAGGAGACCGTGGGGAAGGCGAAGGCCTACATCCTTTTCTACGTGGAGCGCCAGGCCAAAGCCGGATCAGACAAACTTTAATACCTCTCTAAATCATTATTCATCAACCCTACCGGACAGACATTTCCAATTTTCCATAAATACTTGATCCAAGATTTAATTTCATCGTGCACTTTCAGTTTCCGGCTCTGGACTTAGTGTTGTTGATGGTAGTGACTTACTGAACATGGGCACCAACTAATTTTTTGTTGTTGTTCTACCAGAAAACCTCAGCAGATGTTTTGATTTGCTGCTTTAGTTGTAATAATTCAGTTTTTATATGTAGTTTCAAGAACTTAGTTCTATTTGACTTTTGTATTAATGTTTTCAGCTCTCACAGAGGCCCATTTACATCCATGCTTTCGTTACTCACGCGCTGAAAGTGAGGGGCGCTCCGGGGTGTGCAGGGGTCCAGGGCTGCCTCTGTGCCCACACCCGGGTGGCTCCCCACCCAGGTCGCAGCGCACAGGGTGGTGCCGGGAGGTTGCCTGGTGCCCTCGGTGCCCATGGGCTGTACAGGGGCGAGGGCAGCGCAGCTCTTCATCAGCACTAACAATAAACTTGCGGTTCAGTTGTGACCTGCACTGCCAATCCTAGAGTCACTGTTCCAGGGGCGTCAGCCAACTCGGGAGTGGTTTTGTACTTCGCGGGTAGATGGTAAGAGAAGCCGGGCCAAGATGCGGTGTTCACCAAGTCCCGAGGCTCAGCAGCGCGGCCTGGTGTCCCTGGAGGCCCTAGCTCGCCGGGTCCTCGTCCTTCAGCGTCACTGAGCCCCGCTTCCTCGGGGCTAGGCAGGTTGAGCTGTGACCCTGCATGCTGTCACCTCCACGTCACTCTGGTGTCTGTGGACTAACAGCTGTCTTCGGTTTGTCCCAAGAGTACAGCAAGTTAAAAATATTCTCACTTCCACAGGCAGTTTATGTTTTGGAACCCAGCAACTGGCTTGCTAACATCCCTGGCAAGAACAGCTCTGAGCAGTACTCGGATTTAACTAAAATTGAGATTTGGACCCAGATTTGAAGGCAGCTGTGATTCTCGCCAGCATCCCAGAAAACCCTTCCTCTCAGGGTGGGGGTGGCGGCGACCTTACCTACAAGCAGTGCAGAGCAGCGGCAGCCTGTGCTGTCCTTGTCCCGTATCTCCAGTGAGCCAGGCAAGCAGACTTCTTGTCATCTTGTTTTATCTGTTTTTTTAATGACTCCGCAGCAGGTGCAGAGGCAGCTCACAAGTCCCGCCTTTTCTTTGGGCAGCGCATCTACTGGGTAAGTGGTGGAATGTGGAAGGGACCCGCGGCAGCCGCCACCTTTGCCACCTCTGATAAGGTGGCCGCCTGTGCCCAGTTCTCCAGTCCCACTGGCCGCGTCTCCGGTGCTCGGCACGCTCAGGGCGGAGCGGTCGTGGCGTTCAGACGCTCCTGGCCAGCGCGGCTTGGAGCCCTCGCTCCAGGGAAGGGCGCTGTGCCACGCTGGGCTCCTGTAGCTCACCCCCGGGCTCTGAAGAACACGAAGTAGGAGGTGTGGGTTTCCCATGATCCGGTCTCATGCACAGGGATGTTAGCAAACCTAACCGACCCCGACCGTGGCCCCTCCGCCCCCGCGGCCTCGCGCCTTGCTGGGAGGGCGGATGGCTGCACCTGCCAGCATTCACACGCGGGTCTCTGGCCTTTGGATGGGCGACTGGTGGAGTTGAGGCTGTCTTTTTTTTTTTACTAAGGGGACCTCACTGCAGACTGGCCTGCTTTGTCGGGAAAAGCAGTCTTCAGACATGCCAAAGAGGAACACATTTCTGCAGCTTGCTTTTTTTTTTTTTGCAACGGGATCTTGCTGTATAGTTCAGGCTGGTCCTGCGCTCATGCTAGCCGTGAATCCCGCCTCAGCCTCCCGAGTCCTGGGAGTACAGCACACGCGGATTCTGTAGCGATTTGGTTGCTTACCTTTGCTTGGGCCACAGTGTGAGCTGCGTGAGGAAGACGAGCCGGGCCGGGGCTCGCGCCCCCGACGCTGCGGTAAATGTGCCTGCTTGCTTTCAGTCTCTAGCTGCAGAACCATCTCACAGCTGTGTTCCCCCACTTTGCGCTCTGTGGGGCACGGTGACTCCCCAAGACCTCCCACAAAGGCAAGAGTTGAAGCTGTTTACGGTGACACAAATCTCTCCGTGGCAGAAAAACCTTTGCGTATCCGCTGTGTTCCTCTCAGTGTACGGTGGTGACGAATGTCATAGAATGAAACCAGCGGAACTCCTGGGCCTGGGTCTCCCGCCCCACAGGGAATGGCAGTCTGTTCTGAGGGGTGCGCTCCGCGGTGACTCCTGCACACCCTGGACAGGCTCCTGGAGGTCGCTGGCTCGTCTCTGGCAAGGAACCGACCTTCCCGAGGCCCGGCCCTTTCTGCGCGCCCTGCCTGACCCGCCCCGGGGTCAGTGTCATCTCATCCCAGGTCCCTTCTCCTACCTCGTATGTTTCTGAACTCCCAGGGAGCCAAGCCCGCAATGCTGCTCCAGCCCCCGCTGTGACCTCTGCAGCCACCCTCGGGCAGCGCGGGGCAGGTGGCAGGGGCTGCAGTGGTCCCGCGCCCTGACGCATGGCCATTGGAAGCCTTTCCCCGGGAGCCAAGAGCCTAAGGCCCAGGTGCTGCCTACAGAGCGGCTGAGACGGGGCCAAGGCTCGTGCCTCAGGGTCGCTCCCGGTCACTTCCTGCCACTCTCAACGGCATCGGAGGGACGAGGTCACACAGAGCTTTGCTGTCCTCCTGGGGACCAGGCCGTGCCCTGCAGTGGGACAGCTCAGAGCGCTTGGCTCTGTCCTTTGAGTTCTAAGACAAAGCGCCCCCTACAGGCCCCTGGCAAGCTGCCTCAAGGTTAAGGAGGACGCACCGCTCCTTTCCACCCCAGAGCGGCCACCTCAAGATGTCACTCCACCAGAAAACAAGACTTTCAATCCAGGCCTCAGAGCCGACTGCCCGGCTCACGGTCCCCCAGTGAAACCACGGCCAGAGGTAGATGTTCATGGCAGACCCAGGGACACAGTCACCGGGTTGGTGGCCTCAGGGTTTGCACCAGAGAGCCCGCAGTGACACCTCTGGGACACCTCACCTGCCTAGTGAGGTGTCTGCGAGAGGGTGGGGGGCCCGGGCTTCTCCTGGAGGGACTGGAGGGCACCCCGGACCCCTCGGGCACTACGTGCCCTTGCCCATCCTGCCGCAGGGGAAAGTCGAGGCCAACAAAGTACACGTGTAACACAGGCGAATACACAGGAAGGCCTCGGAAAGATAAGCTGCACGCTTTCTGGAAGCTGCTACAGGGAAAACCGGGGCAGTCTGAGAGGTCAAGGCAACAGCTTCGCGCGTGGATGGCAGTGGGCTACGCCGGCGATGCCCAGAGCGGACCGGCTGCAGGCAGACCTTTTAAGGAAGCCCGGCTTCCCCGCCAGACAGGCCTTGAGGCCCTCTGCACAGGAGCCCCAGCGCAGACCGCTGCACGGCTGTCTAGAGCCTGGCGTTCTGTGTCCCTCCTTCAGCACCAGTTGTTGGCCAAAAATAAACACCATTCCTCAACCATATATGTCCACTGGCTGGGCCGGGAGCACACGGGCGGGTCGGCCGTTGGGTGCGCTCAGCATGCACATCACCCAGCTCAACCACGAGTGCCTGCTGCACCTCTTCTCCTTCCTGGACAAGGACAGCAGGAGGAGCCTGGCCGGGACCTGCACCCAGCTCCATGCCGTGTTTGAAGACCCTGCGCTCTGGCCCCTGCTGCACTTCCGCTCCCTGGCCGAGCTGAAGAAGGACAACTTCCGGCTGGGTCCGGCGCTGCGCAGCCTGTCCATCTGCTGGCACTCCAGCCGCGTGCAGGTGTGCAGTGTCGAGGACTGGCTCAAGAGCGCCCTCCAGAGGAGCCTCTGCAGCCGGCATGAGAGCCTGGTCAGTGATTTTCTCCTCCAGGTGTGCGACAGGTAGGCCGCCTTGCCTCGAAGGCCGGGGTTGGGCGGGGGCACGGAAGCACAAACTACGGGACCAAGATGGCTCAGGATGCCTCAGACGTGGTCAGAGGCAGATGGCCAGGTCCTGCAAACTGCAGCAACCAGGACATGGGTAAAATCTTTCAGAGAAAACACTGCTGACCCTTCTCCCAGCCTCAGTCCTGGAGCCGGGGCACCAGCTGTCCCTGCCCTGTGGACAGCTGCGCTCCCCGGCAGCGCTGAGTACTGGGTAGACCCGTCCAGCTGGACCTGCTTTTCACTGCTCCCCCATGCAGCAATCTACCTCACCCTATGGGCAAGCCCTCAGGCCGGCTGTCTCTGTGGTCACAGCAGGCACCAGCTCTGCTGCTGTGGGGACCTCGGGTGCCCAATTTAACAGCTGCTGTTTGCTGGTCTGGCCGTGACAGGAGCCGGAGGAAACAGCGGAGTTTTGCTGGTTTGTTCTTCCTCCTTAGGGCTGGGCCAAGACTAGGCCTGACCATTTCGGAGGGTCGCTGAGTTCAGACTGAAGGAGCCAGCCCATCCTAACTAAAAGAATCAGGGTTGCTTCCCCCAGCAGGCGAGGTGGGAAGCCACGACGGAAATTAGGGAGGACAAGACACTTCTGCAGGAGCAGCGGCTGAGCCTTAGCTCAGTGGCCAAGGCTCAAATGGGAGGGCTCTTAACTCAGAGCAGGAGCATCATAGGTCCAGAGCAGAAACTGACGCTGGGGCGGGGATGGGGTGGGGCTCTCTTGGTTCCTCCGGCCTTAATGTCATAACTACTCTGGAGGTAACCATTCCCGACCTGGACAGATGAAATGGCCCAGACAGATTCGGATAATTAACTCATCAGGAGCACTGCAAGTCTGAGCTCACTCTAGGCAATTCACTGATCCCGCAAGGCCCTGTCTAAAAATATGAAAGGGTGAGGGCTAGAGACGGATCAGTGCAGAGACCTTGGATTCAGTCCCCCGTCCATCACCACCAACGGAACAAGGTGGCAGACAAGCCACCAGAGCTCTGGGGCACGTCTCCATTCACATAAACTGGCGAGCAGAGGGGCAATGCGCTAGGGAAGGCGTGCGAGCGAGGGGAAGGGGGAGCAGGGAGCCTGTGTCTGAGCTCCTCCCTCCCTGCCGCCCGCCCTTCCCTAGCCAGGTGCAGTCAAGGCCTCACGAGGCTGAGCGGCTGCGACCTCATTCAGTCCAGGCCCAGGAGGCCTTGCTGCAGGCTCCGCCCTACAGACCCCGCAAAGGTCAGGGGCAAGGTCACTCTGCAAATCAAATCTAACTGCTTAAGATGCCAGCTACCTGAGTGTCTCTCACTGTCCGCCACCTGCATCTGGCGGCCCTGGGTTCGGGATCTCTCCAGCCTGGTGTCTCAGAGGAGCCACTAACCACGCAAGCCAGCCGGGCTGAAACCTAGGAAACCGCTCTGGCCAAGCGGTCACCAGGCCCCACGCCCCCAGAGGGGGCCGGAGGCGGGTGTTGTGCCTCCAGGAACCGCACCTCCCCAACCCCGGTGGGGGCCAGGCAGGGCTGCCAGGCAGGGCTGCCAAGCCCCACAGATGGGGACGCAGGTGTAGGGGCAGAGAGCAGGGAACTGCTCCTCAGGGCGGCCAGATCACCGCGCTCTCCCCGTAGGTGCCCCAACTTGACATCCGTCACGCTGTCGGGCTGTGGCCACGTCACCGACGACTGCCTGGCGCGCCTGCTTCGCTGCTGTCCGCGCCTGCGCACGCTGCGCCTGGAGAACTGCGCGCGAGTCACCAACCGCACTCTGGTCGCCGTGGCCGCGCACGGGCGCGCGCTGCAGACGCTGCACGTCGACTTCTGCCGCAACGTGAGCGCCGCGGGCCTGCGCCGCCTGCGCGCCGCCCGCCCCCGCCTGGCCCTGCGCGCCGAGCACAGCGCGGCCATGATTCCCGACCGGCTCCCGCGCGCGCCCGCCGGCCTGTGCACGCCGCGGTGGCGCTAAGCCCGAGCCCTCGGGGCGCGCGACTCCGGCTTCGTCTGCGCTACTGTGATTGTGCCTGCCTCGCGCGGCGAGCTTTTACGCGGAAGAAAACGCGAGTAAAGGACCGGGTGCTCACGATTCTCGTGTGGTTCTCGCTACCACCCCGACCCTTTCCGTCGGCTCCGCGTGCGCCCACGGTCCCGGGGCACGCGACGGACACACCAGCTTGCAGCCACCGTGGGGTGCCGGCGCCGCCCGGTCCACAAGTCCGAGTGCAGCCTCCCGTGTTTCCTACCCGTCCCGGAGAAGGCAAACATGGGTGGGCACAGGGGGATGTAAAAATAAGAGCAGTGAACCCGTTCAAGTCTTTTGATAAGAGAGCCCCTAACCCCCGGATAGTCAAGTGTAACTGCTGGCCTGGGGCACGCGCGTGGCCTCAACGTCCCACCTTCGGGAAAACCTCCCCACGACCTAGCCCCTGGTCGCAGGTACAGGGGCAACCCGCGACGAGCCCCTCCGTCCCGGCCAGGTGTTTCTTCCTTGGAAGGCGAGCTGTTTCCAATTTGCCCAGATGGGAAACAGCACGGAAAATGAGGCCTTGTGATCTCGGGGCCAGGAGTTTAGGCAGCGAGGTGCAGGGCTGGTGGGGAGGGGTGGGCCACAGCAAACCTAATCGGAGCCCCTGACGCCAGCGCCGCCGGGCTTTGCTGTCTTCACCTCCGTGTGCCTGCCCCCCAGCAGGTCCTGTCTGCTGTGTTGGTGGTCTAGCTTGGGAACAGCAGGATCCTGGCCTCAGCTCCACCGGCTTCTCCCTACTTTTAGCCCCGGCTAAGGTCATGCTTCCTTATCTGTGTGCAGTGGAAGCCAGAGGATAGAGTCCGTGAGGTTCTTACCGGCTCAGCAACGTTCGAAAGCAGGCCGCTTCACAAAATCCAGCCCGCAGAGGGGGCCCGCATCGTCCACAGCAGCTTTGCTCTAAACTCCGGGGGCCGTGCGTATCAAGATGAGTGTCCACAGAACCAAAGCCATGCTGACGCCCGCGCCCAGCATTGCCTCTCGGGCTCTAGGAAGCCTCGGGCAGGGGCGGGGGCTTTGCGCGCCCCCAGGTGGGCGCAGTTCACAGCACCAGGTGCGCCCTCCCGCGGCTCCTTCGCCGCTCTTACCTGGGCCAGGCTGACCTCATGGGAGTCAGGCCTGGGTGCGGGAAGACAGAAAACTGGCGGCAGCTTTGCTTCGGACAAGTTAGGGTCTTTGAGCCTCAACAACATGGGCCCAAAACCTTCCTGGTACAGTTAGAGGTGTATATGTACCCCTGCCTGGAAAGCTGAGCGGATGAAGGAACCTCAGGCCACAGAGGGCTAAAAAGGGGCCCAATGAGCGAGCTCTGGGAAGCAAGCTAGAGAGACGGGTTGTTTGTTTTTCTGTCTATGGGTTCAGGTCACAAAGTCAAAAATCGAGGACACAGGTCCCTCCAGAGAAGGGCAGGCACAGCCTGGCAGTGTCCCAGAGCCACCAGACACAGCCTGGGTGGTCTGCACTGCTCCTCTCCCTTCAGCCACAAGCCTTCCCCAGCTCCCGAGTGCCAAGTCTTCTCAATCTGTTTTGGCCAAGGCAGCCAAGGTCCCACGCCTCAGAATCAAGGTAGGGTGCCGTCACCGAAGGTTCATGGGTGTAGGTCAGAAGCCTCATGGTCCCAAGAAGCGGGCGGTGCTGGGGCTTGTTGTGCAGGGAGAGGCCAGGTTATGCACAGGCCCTGGTGGGGGCCTCAGGAGAGGGCTGAGCAGGCCCCAAGTCCTAATACTTCCCCTGCCTCTGCCTGGAGTGTGGCCTGCAGGCTTGCCTGACCCCTGGAGACAGGCCACTAGCAGCCCATGCTGTGATGTGACTGTGCTACAAGCGGCGGTCACAGCCAAAGGCTTCCTCTGGCAGAGGTGTGACACGCAGGCCAGAACAAAGCCCCACACTGGCAGATAACTGGGGGCCCTTGGAGCCCACACCTGGGGAAGAGACCCACACCAGGCCCCTTGAGTCCTTTGTGCTGGAATTCACGCCTACCCCTTCCCAGATCCTCGGAAGGCTGGAGCGTGCAGAAGTAGCAACACATTTCCAGCTATGAGATGTGAAAACACCACACAGCGCCAGCCTGCCGCGTGCTCCTGGTCAGACCACGCAGCCACGGGGCCAAGAGTAGAGCCACAGGGGCTGAGGCATTATTTCTGAGGTGACTGAAATCACCTCAGAGGCCACACAGTTGCATCAGACAACACTCTGCATACCCATAGCAAGCAGGATAAAGGGTGGCTTGTCACTAGGAAGCAGCCCAGTGGGCCTGAGGGGCCTCGCCTGCCCGTGTGACCCAGCTGCACTCAGACCTCTCTCTCTGAAGAGACACTGCATCCTGGTGCTGGGCCACGGCAGCCCCTGCCCACCCTGGAGCCAGTGCTTCCGGCCCAGAGCCCTTGGGCGCTGCTGTGGTGGACACCGCTGCCCAGAGCTGAGCCCCCTTTATCTCCGAGGCTGGGTCCTCCGAGACCCAGTCCCACTGAAGCCTTTTGTGCTGAACAGAGATGCCATCGTTCTCGGCGTTAGTATATACTATCTCCTCACCAGGAAGGCCAAGTCACATGACATTAATGGCTTGCAAAGCTGTTTTTCTTGTGGAAGAGGCTGGCACTGCATTTGGCTGTCAGTGAGGACCTTGCCCATGAGGCCCACTGGGAGCAGCGTGTGGCTCGACTTGGTGGGCAGAAGGGGCTGGTTGTAGCCTTGTCCCTGCTAAATGGGGTGGCTCTCAGTGACCCTCTCCTTATGGTGGCCCTTCCCAGCTCCGCACCAGCAGTGCTGCAGGGTGCACAGCTACAGTCGACCCTCACGGTCATTCTGCTGCGAGACGTCGTGTGCCTACTAGTGGACAGCCGTGCTTCCTGCCTGCCACTCACGGCCCTGGCAGAGGCAGCGCGCTGTTCGTGCCCTCTTCAGCCTGTCTGCCTGGGTCTTCTCACGTAGGGCGCCCACGTGGTGCTGGCTGTGCTCCTTTGGCCCAGGGCGCTGTCCCTGCACGAGGCGTGAGGCAGGCCTGAGGCTGGGCCTCCCCACGAGCTCGGGCACATGCTGAGTGGTAAAAGCCGTAGAGCAGAGCAGCCCAGGGCCAAGCTGTCCCTTGGGGAAGCACATGTGCCTCGCCACGGGAACCAACAGAGCAGCCACCCACGCTCTGACTCCTGAATCTGCTTTATTTCTCTGCATAAGGAACCCTGCACAGGCAATTCAAATTAAAACAAAATAAATATATGAATATTCATGTAAAACTGTCCTTTCTAATGAACAATTATACACAATGTACAATTCCGTGTTCACTGGGTGGGTTTACAAAAATGTATCATTCCCAACTAAAAATGCACCAAAATGGTTCCATGCAAACTTATCAAAAGTGACCAAAAATATGGAGGGAAAAACCTGACCAAGAGCACTTTGCTGTTGTTTTTGTACAATCACAGAAAAATAAAAACATCTAATTTCTGTCACCTTTAGAGTAACTAAGGTACTGTTTATCAAGTCGTTTATGTCCCTAGAGCATCTATGTAGTTACCATGATAGTACATCAACATCAACTCCAAGTGAATGTGACTGCCGTGGGGGCGCCACGCAGCTCAGTAGTCTGTGTCGGAGCCCTCGGCGTTGTCCACGTTCCTCGAGAGCATGTAGTTGTCCATGTCGATCGAGCGGCAGTTGTTGATGGCGTAGCGCAGGCGCTCGGCCATGACTAGCTGGCTAGAGTAGGGGGGCAGCCGCAGCTGGAAGAAGCAGGTCTGTGAGGTAGGCAGACTGTCGTAAGGCTGTGGAGAGACCCAGAGCGGTGACTGGGGTGCAGGGCTGCCATTAGCACCAGCCCAGGACAGGCCAGCCCTTCTGCCAGCTCCATAGGGGAACCCATGGAAGTGGCCTCATGTTCAGCTCGCGCGGAAGCAGTCAGGCCGTGGCAGGAAGGGCACGTGCTCTGCTGTCCTGTGGCCTCACGGCTTCTGCTCAACAGTTCTTCCTCCCCAGAGCCCACTGCTGTGAAGCACTTGCAGGGCAGCATGATGCCTGGCACAGAGTACACCCACCAGGAGGGCACAACCCCGAAGCCGGCCACAGGGAAGCCCACAGGCAGGCAGGGAGGGAGAAGCTGCGGTGCAGCTGCTGGGGAGCCACTGTCGCCTGTCCCCACTGTGCTCTGAGCCCGCACCCCTGTGGTAGCCAGCCTAAAGCATGAATGTGGGAGGAGCACTCAGCTAAAACTTTTGGCCCCTAAAATGACAGCTAGGATAACTATAGGCACAAAGGTGCTGAGGAGATTGTGAAGGTAAAAAAATACGCGCTTCTGACACAGGATGCAAAATCTGTGTCCAACAAGACAGACGGAAATGGCCACTGCTAGGGAGGACTGCATGGCGCTCCTGTCACTCCCCGAAAACCACCACTTCCGAGCTATCTGTCATTCTAGTGATGAGATGATACGGTGAGGAAAAAATTTAAATATTAGTTTTAACAAAGGACCTGCCCTCCCTTGCTCAGCTCCCTCTTAAAGGTGCCCTCCCTTCAGGAGCAGCCAGAAGCCTCCGGGTTCCAGGGCCCGTGAGGACTGAGCGCCAGTGCAGACATGCGGGAAACAGTGTGCAACGGAGCCCACAGTGTGGACCGGGAGAGTCTGCGAGCCACATGGCAACAGCCACAGGGCCGCTTCTCTGGGGCTGCCCAGCCAGCGGAGCAGCACAGCAGGGACAGGAGGGAGCCATTCCTCCTCCCAGCCCGCCCGTGTGTGTGCGCGATGTGGGAGGGGCTCAGGCGTTAGCTACCACCAGCACCAGCGACCAGAAAGCACCCGAAGTGGCTGCTGAACAGCGGCCATTTCCACTGGTGCCTTGGGTGGAACGTTTCTGTATCTACGTCAGAATTTGGTGTTATTCTTTGCTTTAGCCTCACAATCCACTGTGAACACTCTGCTGTTTTGCCTGTGGGCGTCACAGCTCATTTTCAGCACCCCTCCCTCATCCAGCAGATGCTGAGACCTGCAGGAAGGTCTGCATGAGGCACCTCACTTTCCTGACACAGAGTTTTGGAGAACTCCTCCAGTGTGCGCCGGAATCACTGCACCAGGCCTGCACACTCTCATTGGAGCGGGGCTCAGAAAGGGGTGGGGACTGCAGGAGCCAAGGCTGGGAGGGAAGTCGACCTAGGTCTGCCTTCAGAGGCCTTTTCACAGGCCTGCACACTCTCATTGGAGGGGGGC